TCTGCCAGCTGCTCGGGCCCCTCGTCTTCCGGTTCTTCCTCTGCTGCGTCTATCCTGGTCCCTGCACCCTCGCCGTCTGTGCTGGGTGCTGGGGTGGCTGCGGTGCCTCCTGCTGTGTGTGGTCTGGTTCCCCCTGTGGTAGAGGCTGCTGCAGTTCTGCGACGGGCGTCGGTTCGCCCGGTTCGTGAGGCCCGTGGTTCTGGGTCCGCCTCCGGCTGTGAGGATGTGCGGCCAGTGCCCAAGCGTTCCAGGCGTTCTTCTACTGCTTGGGCTGATGCGGAGGACTACGACGCAGGTGGAGCTTCGGGAGATGATGTGGCGACTCCGGGTGCTTCGCGCTCTACGACGCTGGTGGTGGCTGACGTCCATGTGTCTGCTGTTGACGATGTTTGTACCTATGATTTACCTCCTGTTCTTTCTCCTGCAGAAGGTTCTCCGCAGTGGGGGCTGGTCGCTCCTACTGACGTGGATGGTGAGAGTTCTGGTGCGCGCCAAGGCATCAAGCTGGTGCTGAAGAAGGATGCCAAGCGTGGGGGGTCCCGGCAGGAACAACGTCCGGTGGTTGACGCGGAGGCTGACTCTAACCGCCCCAAGCTGCGCGCGCATTGACCCGAGGTTATATAAACCGGGACGGAGACAGCGTGGGCCCCTTTCTCAAGCCAGCAGCTGCTCTTACATAACGGTGAGGTGGCCGAGGAGGCTCCCAGTGCGCTGCCCATTGCCCGGCCTCGTGGGAATGAGCCCCTCCCTCTCGTCTTGGCCTCCGGAGTGGCGCATGATGCACAGCATCCTTTGCAGTTTGACATTATTGACCGCGTGCATCCTGTTCCGTGGTGCCCTTCTTCCATCTGGGTACAGCGGGCTCGGTGTTTTGTTGTGGGTGTCCCGGAGTTGATGCCTGATCCTCGTACTGTTAATACTGCACCTGTTCTGGATGACGTCATGTTACTGTGGGAGGCGTATTGTATTCGATTCCCGGCGGCGGAGTGGCCGGATAAGTATGAACACTTTGAGTAGTCTGTGTGCTTGCTGTGACCTGTGGTTAGTTGCAATGTGGTGTACCTATTGTGCACCCTTCAGGCCGGTGTTGTTTTTTTGTTGTATTTATCATATTTCCGTTACCCTTCTGTCCGGTGTTGTGTTTCGTTGTGTTTATGCTCCTTGTTGTGTTTTTGTTGTCGGCCCTTCGGGCCGGTATTTAGTGTATTTGTGTTACTTTGAATTAACTTGCTTTGTGCTTCTGTATTTTTTTGTTGTCTGATTGTTTGTTATTAGTTTATTATTTCATTGTATTTATTCGCATGTTCGCATGTAAAAATAAAAAAAAAAAAACTTCCTCAGTTGCATCACATTACATATACGTCATTGTGGACCAGTGGCGACCTATGATTGGTTGAGAGGTGAAATATCAGCCAATCAGAATGGTGCTCGAACTATCATGCGACAGCCTGTATTCCGGATTGGCTCTCGATAGCTCATTTGACATTTAACCTTGTGCGGGAACGGCCAAGTTCAACCAATGCTTTGTGAAGTTACAAGTCAACCGTAACATTGATGGTATGTCAAGCTGAGCCTCGAGGGTGGAGTATGGCGACGCTCGGGGAGGTGTTTACGAGCGTCAAGTCGTTCCTCAAGACTGCAGGAGTTTATCTCAGGTTATAACGGTGTTGTATGTAACAACCGAATTGTATTCTTATCTCTGCTGGTAACTGCTGACCCGTCTATGGTCGTGGTGACTGTTCCTGACCGGCCTTGTGGCCTAGTAACCAAAGGTGGCAACTTGGAACCTCACTTGAAGATCTGTAGAAATATTTTGTGTTTACTGATGCAAGTTAATCTTGTATTTAAAACCCAAACAAAATTGAATACTTGTATTGCTGCTGGACGTTGATTAGTTCATATGTGATTGGTGCCTTGTGACACTGGTGATTGGTGCCTTGTGACACTGGTGATTGGTGCCTTGTGACACTGGTGATTGGTGCTTTGTGACACTGTTGATTGGTGCCTTGTGACACTGATGATTGGTGCCTTGTGACACTGGTGATTGGTGCTTTGTGACACTGTTGATTGGTGCCTTGTGACACTGATGATTGGTGCCTTGTGACACTGGTGATTGGTGCCTTGTGACACTGGTGATTGGTGCCTCGTGACACTGTTATTGGTGCCTTGTGACACTGGTGATTGGTGCCTTGTGACACTGGTGATTGGTGCCTTGTGACACTGATGATTGGTGCCTTGTGACACTGGTGATTGGTGCTTTGTGACACTGTTGATTGGTGCCTTGTGACACTGATGATTGGTGCCTTGTGACACTGGTGATTGGTGCCTTGTGACACTGGTGATTGGTGCCTCGTGACACTGTTATTGGTGCCTTGTGACACTGGTGATTGGTGCCTTGTGACACTGGTGATTGGTGCCTTGTGACACTGATGATTGGTGCCTTGTGACACTGGTGATTGGTGCCTCGTGACACTGTTATTGGTGCCTTGTGACACTGGTGATTGGTGCCTTGTGACACTGGTGATTGGTGCCTCGTGACACTGTTATTGGTGCCTTGTGACACTGGTGATTGGTGCCTTGTGACACTGGTGATTGGTGCCTCGTGACACTGGTAATTGGTGCCTTGTGACACTGGTGATTGGTGCCTTGTGACACTGGTGATTGGTGCCTCGTGACACTGGTAATTGGTGCCTTGTGACACTGGTAATTGGTGCCTTGTGACACTGGTGATTGGCGCCTTGTAACACTGGTGATTGGTGCCTTGTGACACTGGTGATTGGTGCCTTGTGACACTGGTGATTGGTGCCTTGTGACACTGGTGATTGGTGCCTTGTGACACTGGTGATTGGTGCCTTGTGACACTGGTGAATGATGCCTTGTGACACTGGTGATTGGTGCCTCGTGACACTGTTATTCGTGCCTTGTGACACTGGTGATTGGTGCCTCGTGACACTGTTATTGGTGCCTTGTGACACTGGTGATTGGTGCCTTGTAACACTGGTGATTGGTGCCTTGTGACACTGGTGATTGGTGCCTCGTGACACTGTTATTGGTGCCTTGTGACACTGGAGATTGATGCCTTGTGACACTGGTGATTGGTGCCTCGTGACACTGTTATTGGTGCCTTGTGACACTGGTGATTGGTGCCTCGTGACACTGGTGATTGGTGCCTCGTGACACTGTTATTGGTGCCTTGTGACACTGGTGATTGGTGCCTTGTGACACTGGTGATTGGTGCCTCGTGACACTGTTATTGGTGCCTTGTGACACTGGTGATTGGTGCCTTGTGACACTGGTGATTGGTGCCTCGTGACACTGTTATTGCTGCCTTGTGACACTGGTGATTGGTGCCTTGTGACACAGGTGATTGGTGTCTTGTGACACTGGTGATTGGTGCCTTGTGACGCTGGTGATTGGTGCCTTGTGACACTGGTAATTGGTGCCTTGTGACACTGGTAATTGGTGCCTTGTGACACTGGTGATTGGTGCCTTGTGACGCTGGTGATTGGTGCCTTGTGACACTGGTGATTGGTGCCTCGTGACACTGTTATTGCTGCCTTGTGACACTGGTGATTGGTGTCTTGTGACACTGGTGATTGGTGCCTTGTGACGCTGGTGATTGGTGCCTTGTGACACTGGTGATTGGTGCCTTGTGACACTGGTGATTGGTGCCTTGTGACACTGGTAATTGGTGCCTTGTGACGCTGGTGATTGGTGCCTTGTGACACTGGTGATTGGTGCCTTGTGACACTGGTGATTGGTGCCTTGTGACACTGGTAATTGGTGTCTTGTGACACTGGTGATTGGTGCCTCGTGACACTGTTATTGGTGCCTTGTGACACTGGTGATTGGTGCCTTGTGACACTGGTGATTGGTGCCTTGTGACACTGGTGATTGGTGCCTTGTGACACTGGTGATTGGTGCCTTGTGACACTGGTGATTGGTGCCTTGTGACACTGGTGATTGGTGCCTTGTGACACTGGTGATTGGTGCCTTGTGACACTGGTGATTGGTGCCTTGTGACATTGGTGATTGGTGCCTTGTGACACTGGTGATTGTGACCACGGAGGATCCACCAGTTACGTTAATGGCTGACTCTTCAGGAGGCGGCGCCAGGACTGTGCCAACGTGGATCTGATGTGTGAACCAAATTGGGGCCAGATTCACGAAGCAGTTACACAAGCACTTATGAACCTGTCCATCTTTTCTCAATCTTTGGCGGCTTTGTTTACAATTATTAAACAGTTAATGAGCTCCGAAGCACCAGGAGGCTGTTTATAACAATAACAACAGTTGATTGCCAAGTTTTCATGCTTGTAAACTGTTTAATAAATGTAACCAAAGCCGTCAAATTTTCAGGAAAGATGTACACGTTCGTAAGTACTTGCGTAACTGCTTCGTGAATCTGGCCCCCAGGTTCTCAAAAGTTACTTGATACTTTTTTGTTCAAAATATATCTAGCATTTTTTATTTATGTCTAAAAAATTTCACTTATGAGGCATAATGAAACCAACAAATGAGGCACTAAGGTGCCTCATTTGTTGGTTGTTGTGACCATTCTTGCTTCCTCATACCGTGAGGTCAATATTGTGGATTTAAGTACCATAAGTATAATGATATGAGGTAAGTGATGTTCATCTGTGGCCAGCATACTCCCTCCTATAGTGTAGAGTATACTGACATACTCCCCCCTGACTTATGATGCAGCTGCCAACATACTCGTCCCTGACATATGAGGCAGCTGCCAACATACTGCTACAATTCACTCAGAGAATCACTTGAAATATCTTAAACAAATCAGATCGAGATGTTATGCTTGAATATCAATGAAGGACAGTTAACTAAAATGCCAAATTACCTCAAATATTTATTTAATTATTGAGAATCAATAATATCCTATTCTAAAATCATGTCCTTGAGGTAAAATGGTCGGGAATAAGGCTTGTTATCCATGCTCGTCCTCTGGGCCGTGCACCACCCAGCCAGCACTGAGGTCAAGCTCATACTGAAGGATTATATCCAGGGTGCCATGAAGCTCCGCCCCCCTGAAGCACTGGGCCACGCCTCCGGGTACCTAGAAGGCCAATCACCAGCCTTGTTTGGGAACCCGAGGGCGAGGCCTGGCCACAGAGACCAGAGGCTTCCAGGGAGGTGTGGGAAGGTTGGAGGCTTCCAGGGAGGTGTGGGAAGGTTGGAGGCTTCCAGGGAGGTGTGGGAAGGTTGGAGGCTTCCAGGGAGGTGTGGGAAGGTTGGAGGCTTCCAGGGAGGTGTGGGAAGGTTGGAGGCTTCCAGGGAGGTGTGGGAAGGTTGGAGGCTTCCACGGAGGTGTGGGAAGGTTGGAGGCTTCCAGGGAGGTGTGGGAAGGTTTGAGGCTTCCAGGGAGGTGTGGGAAGGTTGGAGGCTTCCAGGGAGGTGTGGGAAGGTTGGAGGCTTCCTGGGAGGTGTGGGAAGGTTTGAGGCTTCCTGGGAGGTGTGGGAAGGTTGGAGGCTTCCAGGGAGGTGTGGGAAGGTTGGAGGTTTCCACGGAGGTGTGGGAAGGTTGGAGGCTTCCAGGGAGGTGTGGGAAGGTTGGAGGCTTCCAGGGAGGTGTGGGAAGGTTGGAGGCTTCCAGGGAGGTGTGGGAAGGGTGGAGGCTTCCAGGGAGGTGTGGGAAGGTTGGAGGCTTCCAGGGAGGTGTGGGAAGGTTGGAGGCTTCCAGGGAGGTGTGGGAAGGTTGGAGGTTTCCACGGAGGTGTGGGAAGGTTGGAGGCTTCCAGGGAGGTGTGGGAAGGTTGGAGGCTTCCAGGGAGGTGTGGGAAGGTTGGAGGCTTCCAGGGAGGTGTGGGAAGGTTGGAGGCTTCCAGGGAGGTGTGGGAAGTTTGGAGGCTTCCAGGGAGGTGTGGGAAGGTTGGAGGCTTCCAGGGAGGTGTGGGAAGGTTGGAGGCTTCCAGGGAGGTGTGGGAAGGTTGGAGGAGAGAGGAACAGGGGTTGAGACAGTCACAGAAATAGATAGTTCTCATTATCAGTGATGAGTATACATAAGTATACGTGAGTGAGAGTGTACGAGTATAAATAAGTATACGTGAGTGAGAGTGTACGTGTATAAATAAGTATACGTAAGTGAGTGAATTAGTATACGTGAGTGAGTGTATTAGTACGTGAGTGAGAGTATAGGAGTATACATAAGTATACGTGAGTGAGAGTGTATGGGAATACATGAGAGTGTATGATTATACATAAGTATACGTGAGTGAGTGTATGAGTATATGGGAAAGGAGAATGTTCACTAAACTCCGCCGAGACAGACTCCGGGATTTTTTTATTTACCATTTAGACACAAAATAGTTTTCTGTTGGGCAGAAGAAGCCGGCACAAGTTATGTTATAGCTGGCCCGCCTCACAACAGTGTGGTGGCCCGCCTCACAACAGTGTGGTGGCCCGCCTCACAACAGTGTGGTGGCCCGCCTCACAACAGTGTGGTGGCCCGCCTCACAACAGTGTGGTGGCCCGCCTCACAACAGTGTGGTGGCCCGCCTCACAACAGTGTGGTGGCCCGCCTCACAACAGTGTGGTGGCCCGCCTCACAACAGTGTGGTGGCCCGCCTCACAATAGTGTGGTGGCCCGCCTCACAACAGTGTGGTGGCCTGCCTCACAACAGTGTGGTGGCCCGCCTCACAACAGTGTGGTGGCCCGCCTCACAACAGTCAGTGTGGTGGCCCGCCTCACAACAGTGTGGTGGCCCGCCTCACAACAGTGTGGTGGCCCGCCTCACAACAGGTGGCCCGCCTCACAACAGTGTGGTGGCCCGCCTCACAACAGTGTGGTGGCCCGCCTCACAACAGTGTGGTGGCCCGCCTCACAACAGTGTGGTGGCCCGCCTCACAACAGTGTGGTGGCCCGCCTCACAACAGTGTGGTGGCCCGCCTCACAACAGTGTGGTGGCCCGCCTCACAACAGTGTGGTGGCCCGCCTCACAACAGTGTGGTGGCCCGCCTCACAACAGTGTGGTGGCCCGCCTCACAACAGTGTGGTGGCCCGCCTCACAACAGTGTGGTGGCCCGCCTCACAACAGTGTGGTGGCCCGCCTCACAACAGTGTGGTGGCCCGCCTCACAACAGTGTGGTGGCCCGCCTCACAACAGTGTGGTGGCCCGCCTCACAACAGTGTGGTGGCCCGCCTCACAACAGTGTGGTGGCCCGCCTCACAACAGTGTGGTGGCCCGCCTCACAACAGTGTGGTGGCCCGCCTCACAACAGTGTGGTGGCCCGCCTCACAACAGTGTGGTGGCCCGCCTCACAACAGTGTGGTGGCCCGCCTCACAACAGTGTGGTGGCCCGCCTCACAACAGTGTGGTGGCCCGCCTCACAACAGTGTGGTGGCCCGCCTCACAACAGTGTGGTGGCCCGCCTCACAACAGTGTGGTGGCCCGCCTCACAACAGTGTGGTGGCCCGCCTCACAACAGTGTGGTGGCCCGCCTCACAACAGTGTGGTGGCCCGCCTCACAACAGTGTGGTGGCCCGCCTCACAACAGTGTGGTGGCCCGCCTCACAACAGTGTGGTGGCCCGCCTCACAACAGTGTGGTGGCCCGCCTCACAACAGTGTGGTGGCCCGCCTCACAACAGTGTGGTGGCCCGCCTCACAACAGTGTGGTGGCCCGCCTCACAACAGTGTGGTGGCCCGCCTCACAACAGTGTGGTGGCCCGCCTCACAACAGTGTGGTGGCCCGCCTCACAACAGTGTGGTGGCCCGCCTCACAACAGTGTGGTGGCCCGCCTCACAACAGTGTGGTGGCCCGCCTCACAACAGTGTGGTGGCCCGCCTCACAACAGTGTGGTGGCCCGCCTCACAACAGTGTGGTGGCCCGCCTCACAACAGTGTGGTGGCCCGCCTCACAACAGTGTGGTGGCCCGCCTCACAACAGTGTGGTGGCCCGCCTCACAACAGTGTGGTGGCCCGCCTCACAACAGTGTGGTGGCCCGCCTCACAACAGTGTGGTGGCCCGCCTCACAACAGTGTGGTGGCCCGCCTCACAACAGTGTGGTGGCCCGCCTCACAACAGTGTGGTGGCCCGCCTCACAACAGTGTGGTGGCCCGCCTCACAACAGTGTGGTGGCCCGCCTCACAACAGTGTGGTGGCCCGCCTCACAACAGTGTGGTGGCCCGCCTCACAACAGTGTGGTGGCCCGCCTCACAACAGTGTGGTGGCCCGCCTCACAACAGTGTGGTGGCCCGCCTCACAACAGTGTGGTGGCCCGCCTCACAACAGTGTGGTGGCCCGCCTCACAACAGTGTGGTGGCCCGCCTCACAACAGTGTGGTGGCCCGCCTCACAACAGTGTGGTGGCCCGCCTCACAACAGTGTGGTGGCCCGCCTCACAACAGTGTGGTGGCCCGCCTCACAACAGTGTGGTGGCCCGCCTCACAACAGTGTGGTGGCCCGCCTCACAACAGTGGCCCGCCTCACAACAGTGTGGCCCGCCTCACAACAGTGTGGTGGCCCGCCTCACAACAGTGTGGTGGCCCGCCTCACAACAGTGTGGTGGCCCGCCTCACAACAGTGTGGTGGCCCGCCTCACAACAGTGTGGAGGCCCGCCTCACAACAGTGTGGTGGCCCGCCTCACAACAGTGTGGTGGCCCGCCTCACAACAGTGTGGTGGCCCGCCTCACAACAGTGTGGTGGCCCGCCTCACAACAGTGTGGTGGCCCGCCTCAACAGTGTGGTGGCCCGCCTCACAACAGTGTGGTGGCCCGCCTCACAACAGTGTGGTGCCCGCCTCACAACAGTGTGGTGGCCCGCCTCACAACAGTGTGGTGGCCCGCCTCACAACAGTGTGGTGGCCCGCCTCACAACAGTGTGGTGGCCCGCCTCACAACAGTGTGGTGGCCCGCCTCACAACAGTGTGGTGGCCCGCCTCACAACAGTGTGGTGGCCCGCCTCACAACAGTGTGGTGGCCCGCCTCACAACAGTGTGGTGGCCCGCCTCACAACAGTGTGGTGGCCCGCCTCACAACAGTGTGGTGGCCCGCCTCACAACAGTGTGGTGGCCCGCCTCACAACAGTGTGGTGGCCCGCCTCACAACAGTGTGGTGGCCCGCCTCACAACAGTGTGGTGGCCCGCCTCACAACAGTGTGGTGGCCCGCCTCACAACAGTGTGGTGGCCCGCCTCACAACAGTGTGGTGGCCCGCCTCACAACAGTGTGGTGGCCCGCCTCACAACAGTGTGGTGGCCCGCCTCACAACAGTGTGGTGGCCCGCCTCACAACAGTGTGGTGGCCCGCCTCACAACAGTGTGGTGGCCCGCCTCACAACAGTGTGGTGGCCCGCCTCACAACAGTGTGGTGGCCCGCCTCACAACAGTGTGGTGGCCCGCCTCACAACAGTGTGGTGGCCCGCCTCACAACAGTGTGGTGGCCCGCCTCACAACAGTGTGGTGGCCCGCCTCACAACAGTGTGGTGGCCCGCCTCAACAGTGTGGTGGCCCGCCTCACAACAGTGTGGTGGCCCGCCTCACAACAGCCTGTGGTGGCCCGCCTCACAACAGTGTGGTGGCCCGCCTCACAACAGTGTGGTGGCCCGCCTCACAACAGTGTGGTGGCCCGCCTCACAACAGTGTGGTGGCCCGCCTCACAACAGTGTGGTGGCCCGCCTCACAACAGTGTGGTGGCCCGCCTCACAACAGTGTGGTGGCCCGCCTCACAACAGTGTGGTGGCCCGCCTCACAACAGTGGCCCGCCTCACAACAGTGTGGCCCGCCTCACAACAGTGTGGTGGCCCGCCTCACAACAGTGTGGTGGCCCGCCTCACAACAGTGTGGTGGCCCGCCTCACAACAGTGTGGTGGCCCGCCTCACAACAGTGTGGTGGCCCGCCTCACAACAGTGTGGTGGCCCGCCTCACAACAGTGTGGTGGCCCGCCTCACAACAGTGTGGTGGCCCGCCTCACAACAGTGTGGTGGCCCGCCTCACAACAGTGTGGTGGCCCGCCTCACAACAGTGTGGTGGCCCGCCTCACAACAGTGTGGTGGCCCGCCTCACAACAGTGTGGTGGCCCGCCTCACAACAGTGTGGTGGCCCGCCTCACAACAGTGTGGTGGCCCGCCTCACAACAGTGTGGTGGCCCGCCTCACAACAGTGTGGTGGCCCGCCTCACAACAGTGTGGTGGCCCGCCTCACAACAGTGTGGTGGCCCGCCTCACAACAGTGTGGTGGCCCGCCTCACAACAGTGTGGTGGCCCGCCTCACAACAGTGTGGTGGCCCGCCTCACAACAGTGTGGTGGCCCGCCTCACAACAGTGTGGTGGCCCGCCTCACAACAGTGTGGTGGCCCGCCTCACAACAGTGTGGTGGCCCGCCTCACAACAGTGTGGTGGCCCGCCTCACAACAGTGTGGTGGCCCGCCTCACAACAGTGTGGTGGCCCGCCTCACAACAGTGTGGTGGCCCGCCTCACAACAGTGTGGTGGCCCGCCTCACAACAGTGTGGTGGCCCGCCTCACAACAGTGTGGTGGCCCGCCTCACAACAGTGTGGTGGCCCGCCTCACAACAGTGTGGTGGCCCGCCTCACAACAGTGTGGTGGCCCGCCTCACAACAGTGTGGTGGCCCGCCTCACAACAGTGTGGTGGCCCGCCTCACAACAGTGTGGTGGCCCGCCTCACAACAGTGTGGTGGCCCGCCTGTGTGGTGGCCCGCCTCACAACAGTGTGGTGGCCCGCCTCACAACAGTGTGGTGGCCCGCCTCACAACAGTGTGGTGGCCCGCCTCAACAGTGTGGTGGCCCGCCTCACAGTGTGGTGGCCCGCCTCACAACAGTGTGGTGGCCCGCCTCACAACAGTGTGGTGGCCCGCCTCACAACAGTGTGGTGGCCCGCCTCACAACAGTGTGGTGGCCCGCCTCACAACAGTGTGGTGGCCCGCCTCCCGCCTCACAACAGTGTGGTGGCCCGCCTCACAACAGTGTGGTGGCCCGCCTCACAACAGTGTGGTGGCCCGCCTCACAACAGTGTGGTGGCCCGCCT